TTTCACCAAATTTTTGTCACTATTATTTGATTTTTCCACTTGATTGAGATTAGTAGATACTGTGATCATCTTTTTTTAATACACAGTAAGGCATGTAAAGTACACAAAGCTTAAGCGTACAGCATGGTAAATTTTGCATGCATATGTTCCTGGGTGGCATTCACCCACATTCAAATGGAGAACATTTCATGCAGCCCAGAGGCTTCCCGGCACCCATCCCAGTTCATCCTCATCCACCTTTAACCCCCCAGGGACTACTGTAACAGCCTGTAGATAACACACATGTGCCAAATATCTATGGACGGACTCAATCAGTTTATTGGAGGAAGAAATGGGTGGGTTGTGCTGACGTTCTTGATCATCTCTGCCCTTTGCAGTTATGAGACCAGAGGTGTGGTAGTGCCTGGTTTCAATGAAGCAAAACACTCCTCAGCCAGAGTGAGGCTTTCCCAAGTAATATGTTTCCTCAAAATGTTTCTATGTGTCCGGTTGTAAGCTGTTACGACATCATGTAGTAGTTCTCTGTGTAGCCTTCTCAGAGCCAACTCCCACATCTCATGGAATCCTCTTGACAATCTTCTAAGATAGGAAGGGTGGGTACTATTACTCCATTTTCCAGAAGAAGAAATTGAGACTCCAGGATGAAGTCTGAGCTCCTTCTCTCATAGGGGAGCACCGTGATGGCCCCTGACGCACATGGCTCAAGTGAGTTATAGAGCAAGACGCTGGTGTCCTCGCCCAAATCTACGGAAACCCTTCCATGCCTCTTGCCTTTTGATCCTATTGGTGTTTAATTGTGTTCCCTTCTCTCCAAAAGACAGGGTGCAATCCTAACTCACAGTACCTCAGAGTAGGACCCTAGTTGACGGTAGGGACATCAAAGTTTTTAGATGTAATGAGTTGAGATAAGATCATACTGGAGTAGGGTGAGTCTCTAATATAATATGATCACTGTTCTTACAAGAAAAGGAGAAGAGACACTGAGACTCTTATAGAGAGAAGGCCATGCAGAGGCAGAGGCTGAGATGAGAAAGAGGCAGCTGTAAGTCAAGGAGTGCCAAGGATGGCAGCAGCCACTAGAGGCTGGACCAGAAAGAAGAAGCTCTCCCCTGCAGGTTCAGAAGGAGGAGGGCCCTATCAACACTTTGGCTTTTGACTTTTAGCATTTCGAATTGTAAGACAATAGATTCCTGTTGTTTTAAGTCACTGAGTTGGTGGACCTTTGCTTCAGCGGCCTTAGGAAGCTAATATAGGTCCCACATGGGAAACTCCTCATTGCCTTGATCAGAATGAACCCCACAGGTCCAGCAGGAGTGAGTCTTCCCATGGTGGAGACCTTCCTGCCTAAAATGCTCTCCTCACTCATACCTGACAACATTCGGCCCCCAACCCTTCCTTTAGCACAAGGGCCAAAGGCCATGGCTTCATATATGCTCTTCCTGATTTTCCAACAGAAAACAGAAGATTAGCAGAGGCTATGCTTGGATGATGTAACTCCTCAAATGTGCATTGTTTCTAATTTAACATCAGTCAAGTGGGCACGGAGGTGTCCTCTTTGACTTCACCTTTCTTCCACTAGGATGGCTGACCCAAAGCTTTGGAAGACAGAACCAGGGAAGGGATAAGTCTGGATGGAATTGTTTCAGGTCAAAATTGTTTCTGATCTTCCAGAGGCTACACTGGTTAGGAATACAAAAGGAGGCATCGCTGTAAACCTAAGGTATTTTATAAAGTTGGCTTTTCCAGATGACCTGTCCTTGACTCAGTTTTGCATGTTGACATTTAACTGACCTTGAAAGCTCAACTTTCTTGCCATTCCCTCTGAGATTTCTATGTGAAGTACCGTACTCATTTTCCTTCCTAAATTTCCATGGCATCTTATGCGTACACATGTATGCATAACTGAGGACAGGCTCCACCTTCTACCTGCATTAGAGATCTCCATTCCAGCCCACAAACGCTTACCCAGCATGCACCTGGGTCAGGCCTTGAGAATACCTTGCTGAACAGGAAAGAGTGTCTGATCTCATGGAACTCACAGTTTTGTGAGAAATAAGTATCTTTCTAACCGAAGTCTGTTATGTAAATACATTTGAAAAGATTCTGGTGCATGTGTTAGGCTCATTCAAGATCCTTAACCCATTCAGCCTGCGCCAGATGCACTAACAGACAACCGCAGAGAGTTGCACTCGCACGGGGTCCCACTTGGTCCCAGGTGAAGAAGGGCCTGCACTTGAAGTCAAATTCTCTGTAGTTGCCCTCTTGAAATGTGTACTAATATCACCTCTGCTTTACCCTTTCTAAATCCGATGGGACAACGGGACATGAAGAGGGCTTGGAGCTTTGGCTCCTGTACCATCCTGCCACCTGCAACCTCTCCTTTGGGAGAGCTCGACTGCCCACTTCCCAACCCTATGCACCCCACAGGTCTTGTGCAGCCTCTGCCCCTGCGATGGTTGCTGCTCCCCAACAGGGTGGCAACTGCAGCAGTTTGGAACAGCAAGCCTGTGCTCCAGCACCACCTGCCATCTCTGGTGGATGTCTGGGTATATGTGCAGGACACACACTGTGCGGGGAACCAGGGCAAGGCCTGGCAGTGGCCATCTCTCAGCATGCTGGCAGTGCCAGGGCACATTCCTCAAGTGACCAGAGCCTCCTACCCACCTCCAATACAGGTACCCAGAGCTTCTGGGCATGGAGGTTGCAATCCCTGAGGGATCTCCTGTCCACTGTACCTTGGGACAGTGGCCTATGGGAGAGAGACAGGCCACTGGCTGGTCCCAGCATGTGGGTGAAGCTGAGGGCAGGGAAGCCACTGGCAAGTGCAGGCTTCTTGTGCTGCACTGTCACCTGGAAGGGCCGTGGTGTCTGTGCAGGGCTGCATTCCCACGCATGCCGGTGAAGTAGAAGGCACCATGACTGGTGGAGAGAGACTGAAAGAAAGAGGAAGTGGTCTGTTTTAGTACTTGTCATGGTGCTTCTTTTTCATTTTGAGAAAGGAAGTCTCCATTTTTATTTTGCAGTGGACCCCAGAAATCATGATTTCAGCCCTGCTCCCAAACTCAGTAACAGTTAACCACTGCCACCCCTGACTACAGGGACCACGTGCTGCCAGCGGGCAGAAAGGTCTTCACAGCCCCGGGACTTAGGAACTGTGATGATTTCCAGTCTGCATATGAGGAAAACGAGGCTCAGGTCACGTGCACAAGCCTCACGTCGGGGTAGTGGAGGAGCTGCAGTTTGACCCCGTGTTTGCCTGACCTCAGTGCCTGGGCACCCCCGCAGGTGGCTGCTGTGCAGGTAAGAGCTCATGAATAGGTCAACCAGCCGGATGCAGGGACAGAATCAGGCCCGCTGCCTGCCTTCCCGGGCTGCATTTGGGAAGGCCTAGGGACTGAGCACCCGGCACTTGCAGAGCCGGAGGACACTGGTTCTGGTGCGTGGAACTGGGGGCTGGGCCTGCGCAGCCTGAGTGGGCAGCAGCACGTGATCACCTGCAGCTGCAGCGCCGTGGTGAGCCAGGCAGCATCACCGGCTCAGCTGACCCTTCCTGGTACACAGGGCCTGGCCATCTTGTGCCCAACCCTGGTAAAGCACCATTTTGTTTCTGCCTCACCATTTGCTTCTCCTGTGCTGTTTCGTGAGCTGTCTGAGGTGTGCATCATTCTTCTGTATGTGGAGGGGCACATGAGTCTAGTTAGAAGATACCCAGTAGGAAAAAGCCCACTCAGTTTCCCTTGAAAACGACTCCCTCTACCCCCACCGAATGCTTTTTCTTAGCCCTTATTGTCCTGCCTCTGAGCATTCCATCCTGGATCCTACACTTGGGTGCATTCCAGCCCTGCCGGTCATTATATTGCAAAGTGATGGATAGATGTATGCCCTCGTGAGAGCTTTAATTTGAATACTATCATGACTTCAAGAATCATACAGAACATTCAGGAAATGTTAACATATTGGCTTTTCACAGAAATGTGAAAGGGGTTATATGTTTGGGATTACTCAAATTATCAGCAATTTCAATCAGCTTTTTTATGCGCCATTCAGAGAGCAAAATTAGAAGTGCTTGTGTTTGCATTCCACAATGTATTCAAGATAATTAAAAATTAGCCCGTGGAATCATAGAGATCTTTACAGCAGCAGCAGCAAGGATTTGGAAGGAGCATTTCCCTCTAGGCAAATGAACTGGACTTTCCTGAGAGTAAATACGGAATCGGAATCCAGCTGTACATTTTATTAAAACTACCCGCATTTCATGGTCACCTCTCCGCGGCTGGCCACTTCCGAAATAGTCACCCTGGCCATCTCTTATTAGCAGCCGGCAGGAAAATAACTAAAAATAAGCAGCTGTTGAAACGATTATTTAAGCCTCTAAGAGATTCCTCCTGATGACTGTGCGTGACTGTGCGGTGGCTGCGCTCTCCCCAGTCCTGCCTCAGTTCGGCTGCACGTCTCTGCTGCTGCTTTAAGACTGCAGAGCGCCCCAGCGGCCAGAGGCAGGGGAGGGGTCCCTGCTCGCCTCCGCGCTCTGCTTCACTCGCCCGGCTCGCAGGCAGGGAAGGTTGGCAGAGGGATCCATGTGACTGAGGCCGGAGCACGGCAAAGATGAGCCTGCCCGCCCGCCTGCTGCCTGGATGCGGAGGGTGAGGGCTGGCGCACGGGAGGCCGCTGGCTGCGCATTCTGGGCGCCGGGTGCCCGGGATGAGCTCACGCCCGCGTCTGCGGCTCTCTCCACCTGCCGACCTGCCGGGGGGCCCCTGAGCTGACGGCGCACCTGGGCTCCGGCCGCAGCGTGGGGCGCGGCTCCCGGGAGCAGGTGTGCAGGAGCGCAGCGCGCGGTGAGCGCAGCCCTCGCCCCGGAGCCCGGCCGCGCCGCGTGCCCGGGCGGCTAGGCAGCGGCAGCTGCGGCGGCGGCGCCGGCGGCGCGTCCTCGGCGGGCGGCGGGCGGCGGGCGGGCGGCGGCCCCCGGGCAGGTGCCGAGCGGCGAGCGGAGCCGGGCCGGGCGGAGCGCGGGGGGCGAGGCCGGCGCGTCGCTCGCGGGAGGCCGGGGAGCGGCAGGGGCATGTGGATACTGGCTCTCTCCTTGTTCCAGAGCTTCGCGAATGGTGAGCCTTTCGGTTTGTGATGAATTTCATTCCTTATCATTGACCCGGGGGGGTGGGGGGTGGCATTGGTTGCATGGGCAAAGTCTTCGTTCTTTCCCCCCTTCATCTGTGTTTAAATTTTCGTGCTTTATTTTTTAAATATTACATTTATTTCTTTGGAGGAGAGGTGGCCATGGAGAGGCCAGGGAGAAATTGCTCTGTAATCATTGGAAGGCGCTTACCTAGCCAAGTGACAGCTCGGAGCCTAACTCCAGTACTAGAGAGCTGCCTCATTCAGAATAAACCAGGTTTGGTGACAGGAGAGACAGGAAGATCGCCACTTTGAGTATTACAACCTGAAAAGGGATATGATATTCCAAGTGCACGCAGGTGGAGGGGTCAATGAAGAACGTTTGCCTGCAGATTCAATGCTTTTTAAGGTTTTCAAACACGTAATTTCATGCTTGTACAATGTATCTCCAGCACCAAGGAGGGCTTTAAGAAAGGTCTGTCCTTCTATGCACCCCGGTGCTGCTTCATGCTCCTCACCGTCGTTTATGTAAAAATATGCACTGATAAGCATTACATCATCTGAAATGTTGACAAATTAAAAAAAAAAAACACCTGTATAGTAGTAAAAATGAAATCAGTGAATATTGTAAGTAGCATTCCTTTCCTCATGCCCAGCCAATATTATATTTTGAAATGCTTTCTTCCTGGGTATTTAGATAGCTATTACTCTTGACTCAGTCAGACCCAATTAGTAAGTGTGACTGTACCTTCCGCTGCCTGTCACCGCGTAAATATGAACTTACATGTATGAATGGCTTCCTCTCTTGTGGGAACCAGAGGAAATTGTCATCATTTGCCATTGCCTGTGAGTAGTTACAGTTTAATTTCCCATTTCAAATTTTGGAATACACATCTGCATAAAATGTATACCTGCTGACAGTTAAAATTAAACCATTAAGCAGAATCCCCTACCCACAAGAGAGGAGACAGAGGAGGGAGAGAGGGGGAGAGAGAGAGAGAGAGAGAGAAAGGGAGAGAGAGAAGGGAGAGTGGAAGAGGAGGTAAAAGAAGAGAAGAGAGGAAATCTGGCCCTCGTGAGAAAATATGAAAAGCAAAGGGGAAGCTCTAAGATTTTCCTGGAAGATACACAGGGAAGCCCTGTGTGTTGGCTCTGTGCATTTTCTTTGCCTACGTAGACCGTGCCTAAAGAATCAATATACCAACAGGCCAGAAGAAATGCATGAACATTGTCAAATTTTTAAAAAATGATGACCAAGAAAAGGTAGAGTTGAAAGAAGGTACTACCAAAATTAACATGAAAATGATGCTTTGCTCTCCAATATAACCTAAAGCAAAGTGTTGGAAACTTTCATTTTGAGATTTCCTAGCAGGAAAGAATTGCAACAAGTTCTGACAAAACACCCATCTTTCCCAGAGGGCACTATACCTGTCCTGTGTCCTCCTGGGAATTTCCCTTCGGGGACAGATCTGCTTAGGGAACATGTGGAGATGTGTCAGGGAAGTCAGCCCTTTCTGCTCTTCTGATAACCCGACCTCCTAAGAAATATACAAATGCCTACAGATGTGTTCCAAAGACACAAAGCCTTGGCAGCCTGTTTCGTCTGTCAGGGAGTACATTTCTGAACTCCTTGGAAAGGCCTGTGTTACAAAATGAAACAAAATTTCCACCTAATTGGGAAGTATGTGTTTCAGGATGACGAAAGAGACCCTGCTGGTTGTCAGTCAGCCAGTATTTATTTAGAGTTTAATTTGACAAAAGTGGTAGGGAAGAATTGATGCTACTGGTGCAGAGTCTTAGCCTCTGACACAGAGATGCTATAGATGTGTGTGATTTTTTTTCTGAATCAGCATTTCATAACTAAAATAAAAAATCATAGAAATCATTGTATATAGTAATACAATTATATAAACCTTCAAATATTCTACAATATGAAAAATATATGCAAATATTATGTAGGTACACATATAATGAGTTCTGTATTATTTTCAAGACTTAAAATCAACTAATAATCACCATATTGTTACTGTAATAAATATGGGTAGATTCCACAATATTAGACATAAACAGCAAACACAAATGAATACTTTACATTTTGATCCAATCTAGCAGAAGGCTATGGAACTATTTTGTATACAAATGCCCCTCTCTTTATATGACCAAGCATGAAAAAATAAAAAGCCTGACTGTAAAGCTGTAGGATCTTTGAAGGGGGGAGGGGAAATCAGCTTTAAACAGTTTTTTTAAGGCAGGGTGTTCATTGCATCCTGGGGAAAGGATCACGAAATACACAGACATGTTGAAATGAAATAAGAGTCCAGTTTGGAACTATGCCTGTTTGTAAGGCCATATTTCAAAAATATGAGTAAATGGTTTCTACCTATTTGAATTACACTTTAAAAAATGGAGAGATATTTTTGTCAACGACTGGCATATTTTGTTATACCTTAATTTTGAAAAATTTCTGAATGTGTGTGATAAAAGATTAATGAATTCTAATACCTAAACTGATTATTGCTAGGCCTCAGGCATCAAAATGCCTGACATGATAACATTTTTTTTTTCATTTGTAAAATATTGTGCAGTTTAATATTTGGGGGAGTTAAAAATCAGCCCATAATACATCTGCATTCTAATGCTAGACAACAGCATTTTTCTTGTTGATGTATGGGAAATACTTTTATTTCTTAATAAAAGTACAGTTGCTAGACAGGCGGCAGACAGTATTTTTGGCAAAAAAAAAAAAAAAAAAAAAAAAAAAATTTTTTTAAATGGAAAAAAAAAAAAAAAAAAAAAAATCGAAGTCAGTGACCAAGACTTTCATGGGTTAAACCCTTAAATGAATGACCTCACCTGATAAGGTGCAGTAATGGTGTTTAAAGCAGTCAGTTTGTTCTGCAACGTTCTAGAAATACATGCGAGCTTCCGTTACAGTGCAAGGAGCCAAGGTACACGTATGTGCAGACACTCACCCACACACGTCCCTCAGTGTCTTCCCAGCACAGGCTTCCTACTGCATTGTTTCATCACCAGTCCTCCTGGTTTTAACCCCAGCGAGCACATTCTAGTTTAGAATTCTTGCTAAAAGCAGAGCTGAGCCTTCAGACAAGCAGACTGCTGAAGAAGTAGGTTTATCACATATAACATATTTTTGCTAGTATCCTGGAATTTGTTTTTACACACACATGCATTCCTGACATCATTTTTCCCGAGCCATGAGGTTCTGAGCTTTACTGCACCCACTGTCATGGGGCCTTACTGTCCTGGAGATTACAGAGGGTGGGGTGACGGAAGTAAGAAGGTGCTCATTAAAGAGAAGGTGAGTATGCAGCACCTTTGAGCTTCAGCCATTCGCTTGATAGGAAATTACAGAGCACACACTTGCTATTTTATCTCATTAGAAGCAGACCTTTGTAAATACAAATGCACCTTAAGGACGTTGAAGGTGATTTTTGTTTAATTCACATAAATGTATGTAAGGAAAAAAATGTTTTCAGGTGAACAATTTCAGGGCTTCCTCCCCTTCCCTTTCTCCCCCGTCTTTATTAAGCAGCTTAAAAAATCTACCCACAATCTCAGGGTTCACCTAAAATTCCTAGGCCTTTTAACTTCAGCTGATGGCCCTCCAAGATGCCCTCTATAGCAAAACAAAATGCCACGCAGACCTTTAATAAATGCCAGTGGATCCTTCTCCACTTTTTGACTCTCTCCTTTGTCACTTTGGTGTGACCATGGTTTGCTGCCTCAGGGGATCCTTGTCATGGGGGCAGAACCCGTGAAATACAGCATTCTGGTAGGGGAACTAATTTTGACTAAAAAAAGTTGCCAATTTTAATCCCCAATTCCCGGACCCCCAGGTAGCTGGCAAGGTATTTTACCTTAGATGTGTCTGGGGTAAGGTGCAAGAAGTATTTCGACAAAAGACTCAATTCAATGTGTATTAAAACTTGATCGACAGAGAGAGAGAGGAAGTCATTTTATAAAGAAAGACCTGTGAACACTGTAGGTTGGAAATTTATGTTTGCAAAATTAAAAGACGGGTGCCTCAAGTGGGTGCATTTACAAAATCTGTGGCATCCAGGTTTCCTGAAATTAGCTGAATTCTACGGGTAAGATTACAATGTGGCTCATAAATAATTAATAGGTAGTGGAAAAGAATGCATTTTGCACCAGGCAATGCATTCAGTAGTATTTCAGAAATGGGCACTTGGATTTCCTTGGCTTCCATGCGTGGCCCACCTCGCCAGAGCAGGGCAGGTACCCCGGGGTGCGCCCACACAAACAAACGTGTCTGGGGATTTTCTTGGCTGCTGCGCTGAAGCGCACGCTGGGCCTCGGTGCCCGCACCCGCAGCCTGGGAGACAGGGAGGTAGTGCTACCTGCCTGCGGGCTGTGTCCCCTCCATGGGACACTAGTGGGCGGCAAACCTCACCAGACTCTTGCAGCCAGCCTTCAGCAGAGCCAGCAAAGCCGCCGCGCCGAGGGAGGACGTGCAGACGGCCAGGGGCTTTCTTCTGGAGACGCCTCCCCACGATCTCTCAAGTTCACTGCGCCCAAACTCCAGTGCCTTGGAGTTCGTCTTTCGAAAACCGTGTAAAGGCGACCGCAGGTCAGGCGGGGTCCGGCAGCCTTTGTTTTCAACTGTACGGCGGAGGACTGTATTCATAGCAATCTCTAGAAACCTAGAGGGTGCCCAGAGAGGAAACAGAGGTGCTGCAGGGGGCAGCGGGCCCGCAGAAGGGCGCATTGGCACCCCCCTTTCCAAACCCGCAAGGGAGACGCGGCGTGGCGCGCGCCTCGGAGGTGGCAGCTCCGGGAGCAGCTCCGCGCCTGATTGGCTGACCTTCCAATGTCATTCCAGGAGCCGCCGCTTCTCCTGCTGATGGTGACAGGGGTGATGCTTACGTGCCCGCTCCTCCGCAGTCCATCAATCTCCGCAGGCAAGGCTCCGGACCGGGAGCCCCCTTCCCTCTCCCCCAGGCCCCTTGGA